CAAAAGACAAAAAAAAAAAAAAAAAAAAAAAAAACACAACTGAGAGCTTGAGCAGCAGTGTAGAGCAACCAGAAGAATTTCAGAGCTTGAAGATGGTCATTTTGAAATAAATCAGGCACATAAAAAAAAAAGAGGAAAAAATTAAAAATAATGAGGAAAATCTAAGAGAGACAAAAGACAACCTCATGTGCTCTAGCATCCAAATTGTGAGTATTCCTGAAGGGGAGGAAAGGGAAAAGATATTGAAAACCTACTCAAGGAAATAGTGACAGAAAACTTCCCAGGTGTAGGGTGGGATACAGACCTTCAGATCCAGGAAGCTCAAAGGTCCCCAAACAGATTCAAACCAAAAAGATTCTCTCCAAGACACATTATAGTTAAATTTACAAAGCTCATAGACAAAGAGAGAATTCTACAAGCAGCAAGAGAAAAGCATCAGGTCACTTATAGGGGGAACCACCATCAGACTAACAGCAGACTTTTCAACTGAGACCCCACAGGCCAGAAGAAAGTGGAATGATATATTAAAAATAATAAAAGAAAAAAATTTCCAGCCAAGAATTCTTTACCCAGCAAGGCTCTCCTTCAGGAATGAGGGGGAAATAGTGTATTTCCCAGACAAACAAAAGTTGTAGGAGTTCAGCACCACATGACAAGCCCTGCAAGAAATTCTCAAGGGAGTCATTCACCTGGAATGAGAATAATTTTTACCACTATCACATATACAGAAGAAAGAGCAAAACCCATAGTTAAAACAAAAATACCACCAAGAAAGAGAAAGAAGCTAAATCATTCCATCTTAAATTCCCAACTAACATTGAAGAAGAGAAATAAAAGAGGAAATAATGATCCAAAGATATTTAAGTCATCTAAACAAAAGCAATTAACTGACAGGGATTAAGAAGCACTTGTCAATAACTACCCTAAATGTGAATGGGCTAACCTCCCCATTTAAAAGACACACACTGACTGATTCGATTAAAAAGCTAGACCCAAATATGTGCTGTCTTCAAGAGACCCACCTCACCTGTAGAGGCACACATAGACTAAAAGTGAAGGTATGAAAAAAGATATAACATGCAAATTGAAACCAAAAATAAGCCGGAGTAGCTATTCTTATATTGGACAAAAGAGACTTTAAACCAAAAACATAAAGAAAGAGGACCTAATACATTAATAGTGGGTGATCTGAACACCCCTATCTCAGTATGGGACAGATATTCCAGGCAACAAGTCAACAAAGAGACACAGGATTTAACCTACTCCATAGAGCAACTGGACTTGGCAGATATTTACAGAACATTTCACCCAACAGCTAAAGAATACACCTTCTTCTTATCAGCTTATGGTATATTCTCCAGGATAGACCACATTTGTTGCAATAACTTTCCTCTTAGTACTGAACTGAAGTACACTCTTAGTAAATATTATTATCTAGAATCAGTCTATTTTTAGTATGTTCATAAGAGATGTAATTCATTTCTATGATTGGGAAGTAGCAAAGTAAGACCTTAATAATGAGATAAAACTATGTAATGCTGAGCCAACTATAGCAAAAATATGCCCAGAAACATGGATGGATCTCAGTGTGTGACGGCATATACAGCAAAAAGAAAGTAACTTTTGGGAGGTACTTTGCAGGGATTCCAGAATGAGGAAGTAAATTCAAATGAGTGCTGAAGACTTACTGTAATCAAAGTGAGGGTATAACAATCAACGCGAGTCTGAAGATATAGCTTTAGTCATTGAAAGTGAAAATCAATTACACAATGATGAACAACAACAATCTACTTACATCAAATAATATGGATTCCTTTGAACATAGTAACTGACATACAGGTGATACGATTTATCCCAATTTTAAAGATGCTGTGTTATAGGGCTGATCAATGCTTTAATTGGCAATATTCTACAATACGCAAGCACTATTAACTATAACCAAGACATTTTCTTCACTAGTTTCTAAACATAGAGATATAAACTTACATCCCAAATCCTTTTCATCATCAATCAAAGCTGAAAATGCACTTTATTTATAAACCAATTTCTCTCGAATCATCTTTTCATTGCCTCTTTTACATTTTTGTTACTCCAACTGTGGATGATGAGGTTCAGCATGAGAATCACAATAGTATAAAATATTGACACTATCATGTCATGCTCCAAAGTATACTTTGAACTTGGTCTAACAAAAATGAAGAGGATTGTCCCATGATGAATTGTCACTCCAGTTAGGTAAGAACCACATGTAGAGAACACTTTCTGTTTTCCTTCAGCAGAGTGCATCTTCAGAATGGCCAACAGAATGAACCCATAGGAGATCAGGACAATCAGGATAGTGCCTATCTCAATGGAGCCGACAAAGTAGAAGAGTAGAAGCTGGTTTGTGTGAGTGTCAGAAGAAATCGCAAGGAGAGGAGGGATATCACAAAAGATGTGTCTAATTTCATTGTATCCACAGAAGGACAGGCTGAATGTGGCCACTGTATGTATAGTAGCATGTAAAATGGCACCGACATAGGAAGCAACCATGAGTGGCACGTAGACTCTGGGTGACATTCTCACTGAATACAGAAGTGGGTTGTAGGTGGCTACAAAGCGATCATAAGCCATTGCAGCCAAGAGAAAGCATTCCGTGGTTCCTAAAGTAACAAAGAAAAGCATCTGTGCTGCACATCCAGATAATGAAATGGATTTGTTATCTGACAAGAAATTAACCAACATTTTTGGAGTGGTAACTGTACAATAGCAGGCATCCAAGACTGACAAAACACTCAGAAAATAGTACATGGGANTGTGGATGATGAGGTTCAGCATGAGAATCACAATAGTATAAAATATTGACACTATCATGTCATGCTCCAAAGTATACTTTGAACTTGGTCTAACAAAAATGAAGAGGATTGTCCCATGATGAATTGTCACTCCAGTTAGGTAAGAACCACATGGAGAGAACACTTTCTGTTTTCCTTCAGCAGAGTGCATCTTCAGAATGGCCAACAGAATGAACCCATAGGAGATCAGGACAATCAGGATAGTGCCTATCTCAATGGAGCCGACAAAGTAGAAGAGTAGAAGCTGGTTTGTGTGAGTGTCAGAAGAAATCGCAAGGAGAGGAGGGATATCACAGAAGATGTGTCTAATTTCATTGTATCCACAGAAGGACAGGCTGAATGTGGTCACTGCATGTATAGTAGCATGTAAAATGGCACCGACATAGGAAGCAACCATGAGTGGCACGTAGACTCTGGGTGACATGATCACTGAATACAGAAGTGGGTTGTAGGTGGCTACAAAGCGATCATAAGCCATTGCAGCCAAGAGAAAGCATTCCGTGGTTCCTAAAGTAACAAAGAAAAGCATCTGTGCTGCACATCCAATAAATGAAATGGACTTATTCTCTGCCAGGAAACTGATTAACATTTTGTGGGTGACAACAGTAGAATAGCAGGCATACAAAACTGACAAAACACTCAGAAAATAGTACATGGGGTTGTGGAATTGTCAATGACCAATACAACCAGTCCTAAGTTTCCTACCAGAGTAAAAAGATAGATTGGAAAAAATACTAAAAATAGCAATACTTGCAGCTCCAAGCCATCTGTGAAGCCCGTCAATATAAACATCGTGACATCAGTCACGTTCTTCAACTGAATCCTGTGTATATTGAAATCTGATAATAAGCCTTCCATTTTACTTTTTATGGATAAGTTCTAAAAGATATATCCCGTGAAGAAAGAGTCCATCCAATTATATTCTCATGTTTATTTTGTAGAAGGGCAACATAGTTTCCTGGGTGGTGATTGGATGAGCAGTGATGAAGAAGTTGGACACGTGGATGCATTAAGCTCTGTAAGTAAAAGGAACAAATGATTTCATTCAAATTTCTCAATTTGTCATGTTAAAACAATATTCCACCAACGTGATTTATGTTCCCATTCATTTTCCATTACATTTTCTACAACCTGTTCTCCTATTACATTATCTAAAATTCACAAGGATAAATAAATATAGAAATATAGACATGTTTAAATAAAAAATGGTTATAGTGGAAATTACACACCTGAATGGCATGCCTACATTTGCTGCATTATGCATGGGGTTCATTTCTTTAATGTTCGAAATCATTGAAATGAGAGCAACCACACTTACATCACAAGATCGGGTGGAATATAAACAAGAAAAAATTTGTCAAAATTATTTAGTTTATATATATGTGTGTATATATATATATACACACACACATATACATATATGTACATACACACACACACACTCACACACCCACACAGAACACATTTTCCTTATCCATTCAACTGTCGATGGGCTTTTGGTTTGGTTCCATATCTTGGTTATTGTAAATACAGCTGTGATGACCATGGGAGTGCAGGTGTCCCTTTGAAGTGACTATTTCACTTCCTGTGGGTATGTGCCAGAAGTGGGATTCCTGTAGCCTATGCTAATTCGATCAGTAGTTGTGTGCTATATATACACACTGGAGTACTAATCATACATTAAAAAGAACTAAATTCTGCCATTCTCATTAGCATGGATGAGCTTGGAGAAAATTATGTTAAGTGAATTAAGCCAGGCACAGAAAGAGAAATACTGAATATCTTCACTCAGAAGCGGGAGAAAAGAAAGAGAGAAAGAGAGAAAGAGAGAGAGAGAGAGAGAGAGAGAGAGAGAGAGAGAGA